TGAAGCAAAAGAAACCAAAGTCACGTGCTTGTTGAAGCCATAAATCATCACTCAAGGTAAGTTGATAATATCTCTCTGAACTATTTTCAGGTGCATTTGTGTCTGGTTATTGGTAATACAATACAACACCTTTTTGCTTCAATATATTAGTTACCAACTCATGCACTGTCGTCCATAGACCTACTTGTCTTCATGTGCGTAAATTATTTCTTTTAATAAGTTGACGAAGCTTTAACTCATCACATATAGAGTGTTAATGATATAGATGTTCAAGTTCATTTTGTGATGCACCATTATGCGATGCAAGTAACTTCATCTTAATTTCTTTTGTCGTTCGTTTGTCAGCTCGACAACTTGTGATTGCAAGGTCTCGTACTTCTCAACTCAAATTAATTCGAGACAGCACAGTTTTTTCTTGGATAATATTTTGTGGAACATGGTTTCCTTTAATAATCATATGCACTGGAAAATCGGTATCAACTTCAGAAATTATAACCTCAGTAATAACTCGTACACTGCACTTGTGCATATCAAGAGGATTCTTACTGTTATATTCATTTGCATAGTGATTACATGTTTCTACACATTTACTAATCCCACCACAAGATCTCTGACAACCACCTTCATCAGAACAAAGCCAGACCCATCACCAAACTTGAAGATCACTTCCTTCATTAGCACATATTTGTTGAACTTGATGTTTTCTATTATCAGTAAGCCGCAAAACATCATCAAGACAATTTGTCGATTTACATTGGCCTTTTTCAGTTTTCCAGCCAAGATAGTCTATAGAAACTTCTACATGTTCAACTGTTATAAGCCCTCATTTTACCACATCATTTATTCTCTTTCTGCTTTGAACTTTGTATCAGATGCTATGAGAGATGGGAAGTGAGTAAAGATACCGTTCAACTGCTCGTCCAAATGGTAGTCGAATAGTCTCATTATTATAGATATATACAGGATGAGAATTCATATTTATTTATGCTTTTCAATTTTCAGACAAAGTTAATATACATGATATCACTAACACATGTAGAAGCTTTCACAAAAGCACAAAAAAATGTACAACTGAAAAAAAGGTCGAAAATCAAAAATTTTG